TGTATGTTTCGTTTATTTCTCTGCATATTTATATCTTAGATGGTCGATAAAATAATAAAAAAAAAGAATGAAGAAGTAAACTGAATGTTCATATTGTAACTTTTATAAAAGGAAAATTGAGTTTCATTAGAGGAAGGATATCATGAAAAGACATTCGCATATTAAAAAGGAGAAATAAAAAATTTAATAAAATTACATTGCATGTACATAATAGAAATAATAAAATATTCTCATTTAATTTCATTTTGTAGGATATGAGTATGTAAGTAAGTACATCATTCATATATTGTAATAAGCATATATGAAATACTTTACATTACGTTTATGAAAAATCTTTTCATATTCAGCATATATCCTTTTTTCCTGAATAATATTTGCAACATAATAATTTCATGCTTCAAGTATATTTACATTGTAGATTTCAACTCGGAAAAACGAGCTGTTTGAAAATTATAGCGAAATTATTTACTTACTTTTAACTTTATCATAAATTTCCTTTCTCCACCATCTCCATATTTTTCCATTTGTATACACTTTTTCTTCCTTCTCTGTTGCGCATTCGGTTCACTTTTATCATATTCACATATTCACATATTCATAAGAATGAGCAACAGCATTCGTATTCCATTAAATAAATTAACATATGCTAATGAAAATTGCTATGTTTGACAGGAAGGAAGGAAGGAAGGAAGAACAACAAGTAAAAATTGAGATGATTTTTTAAATATTAAAGTAACTTCCATAAAAAAATGAGTTAATTGAAATATTTCATGAAACTTATTAGGATTTTAATGGAATCTTAAAACATAGTTCGAACAAGTTTAAGCCACATATTAAATACATCAGACATGACTCAGTCATTTAGAAATATTTTAATATGTCATTCAAAAAAATATATAGATATATATTATGAAAAAATCTAACTATGAAAACTTAATCATCGATGAGCAAATAGACCGCATAAACCACAAAAAAACCCTCACATGTCATTATAATTTTCCATTTATTATTTACTCGACTCGTCTCTCTTGTGTTGTCACTTCAAGCTTTCTATGTATAAAATATATATCAACCCACAATGTATTTAGTTTCAATTGCTTTTGTTATAATAATTGTTGATAAAAATTAAACAATATTGCAATTCTTTATGTTTACATCCTATAGGGTAATAAGGACTTAAGTTGAGTACATCAAAAAGTAGCAAAAACATTCGACAATGAATATCAATTGTAATTATTTATCTTAAGTGCACTTTGTACAGCTATTCGTGCAACTGTTAAATTTTCTATTCTTTTTTCTGCCTCATTCAATTAAAAACTGCCCGTAAAATATTATTTTTTTGTTTTCTTTCCATCTTATTGATGTTTGTTATTTTGCTGGAAATGATTGAAAAGTGTCATTGAAGTTTTTTAAATGAAAAATAGGGTGTTTTATAAAATTGTAAAGATGTTGATATCGATCGGTAATTTCGAGTGTTTTATTTGTTGAAAATGATACAAAAGTAGCAAAGAACGTAATGCCTTGATACTTGTAGCATTAATTTTTTCAACTAAATTATTATAATATAGGTGATGGACTAATATGTTTATTATTAAGTGCCAGCAAGTCTATAAACGTTTAAATATAATTTTCTGGTTTTGAACCAATTGGTTTAAAAAAAATCTAATATAAATATATGCAATCATTTTCAATTCATTTAATTGTAAAGTGAACCCTTCCGTTAAAAACTTTTTCTTTCTTGCCAATCCATCTATATACTTTTTTCTTGAGCACCATTAAGATGAATGTAAAACATGGGAAGAGAATTTTCGTTGAACAACTTTGTTTTTAATTAATAAAGTTTTTAAATTAAGAAAATTAATTCAACGCCCTCGAGTTGATTTTTTCGGAACTTTCTATAACAAACTCAATTTTTGTTCAATCATTTATGGAATTTTACTCGATTTATAAAATTGAAATAAGTAAAGATTATTCATTTTGACCAAATGTATCAGTAAGTGAGCTATTTGAAATTTCGGAAATATACTATGTCATCAAATCAGTTGAGGACAATATTGACTAAAATTTTATTTAATAAAACCTGCTTAATAAAAACGGATGCTGTCGTATGCGCTTTACTCATCATTTATATTTTGAAACTATACTTCAGTTTTCAAATTTCACGTTCAAAAAAAAGTCCCTAGAAATGAAACAAAGTTTACATTTGGCTACACAAATTCGATCCACTTATCAAGTAAAATTTAAAGGGATGTCTGCAGATTCAATTTGTCTAAAGAGTTTGAATTTCGTTAATTCAATTTGAATAAAGGATCTTTTTTTTCATTTTTAAAAACTGATGTAAGGTAAATAAAAATGCATTAAAACATTAATTTAAATTCTTTTATGTTTCCAAAAAATTAATAAATTGGAATGTCATTTTAATCTTACTCCTTTATATTCTTATAATTCGAAATCGGAGGTAATGCATTGTGCTATTTTGTTAAAATTTATGGTTCTATTGCAGTTCTTTGTTGAAATCTGTGCTAAAAATAAGCTTCCTGTTGTGGTCCTATCGAAATTTTTCTTATTGCATTTGCCTCAAAAAATCAACGATATCTTCCACAATTTTCAATAGCACTCACAAATCGTTAAACTTACATTCGATGATTTTAATTTTAAAAATAACTTCTGCGGTAAGTAAAAAATAATAAAATTAATAAATTGCGTTTTTTGTACACAATTGAAGATAGTAAATTCGAAGACCTAGAATATTTGAGAATAAAGTGAAATGGGGAAAAATGTTTATTTAAGGACATCTGTTAATATTTAATGTCTCTTTTTTTAAATTTCTTTGTAAGTTACCTTTTATGCCATAAACATTTTGAGATCTTACTTAACTTTCTATTCCAGTCACCAGAAAATAATGTAAGCATGTTGTACAAGTATGTGTATGTTTATTCAAAATCGAGAAAGGAAAATTTTCTGTATCGAATGAAAAATCAACAAAATTTTTACGGAAATTTGAAGGGTAAAAATCCCTAAAGTACTTGTTCTTCAGTCTCCGATGTTTGTATTCAATTCTTTAGCATATTTTTGACAATAAAAGAAAAAAAAGTTTTTCATTTACGGGTAAATGAAAGATGACAGAAGAGGATCGAAGTGTAGTTGGAGGAACAGATAAAATAAGAAGAAAAAAAAATGATTCATGACAGTCACCAACCTTATCTCTTATTTTTCAGAAACCAAAAATAAAGAAAAAAAAAACATATTGAACCTTTTTCTGACTTTTGAGCTTTGATGCCATTCTATCATCGACGACATACATGCGTTGATCGCTAAAGAAAGTTCACAATGAATATGAAGAGAACTTTGAACGTTTTTTTATGTGCATACATTTCACAAAAATGTGGACGTGCTGAACAAAGAATCATCAGTTATACTTCACATTTATAATATGTGACTATAAAAATTTAATGTAAACAATTTTTGTAAGTGGAACTAAAAGGAGATATTTTACTTCAAATTTGTTGGGAAAAAAAAATCCACAAAACCTTGACTTTAGAAATAATTTTATGAAAATTGTTCTAAATTTACAGATTTATAATTTTATAAAAGCAGATGTGAAAACCTCGTTCAAAATTGTGATGGTAAATCATCTCTTACTTTCTACATCTTTTCATCTTATAAATTGAAAATGCCGAAAAAAATATCCTTGAATGGATGACTGATGATTTTTCATCATTTTCTCTAGTTGAAAATATTCGTTCATTTCCTTCAACTTTTCCTCTTGTCGCTTCTTCTTGTGAAATAATATGGAAAATGGCATTTTTCTCTCCTTTTTTTCCTCTCTCTGTTTGATCTTTGGCCATAAATCATCTCACAATTTTCTATACTGATGGAAACGAGGGATGATGTCATAAGAAACTTTTCCATCAAAAGTAATTCAAACGCATTTTTCTTGATGTTTTCAAACATACTATAATGAAATTAATAACAGACAGACCGACGAAATTTGATACAGGATATAAAAAGGTATAGAAATAAAATAAATAAAAATGGTTGATGTAAAAATTTCATCATTGGATATACTGGGATGTATAAAAAATTATTAATAGCATTTTTCCTATTTTGTTTTAGATTTTTTCATATTTCTAAAGCCAGCATGTTTGAAGAAAAAGAAGAAAAAAATATCTTCATCTTTAAAAAAATAAATTATTGTGTAAGTGGATATGATGTGAAGATGAGAAAGAAGGGAGAAGAAATATAACGCCTCCTCTTCCCAGACAGTAACATACAAAATATATTTTTGTGTCAATAAGTAGTTGAATAGAAATTCTATTTTTCTCTTGATTACTGAAATTATTAAAGTAAACCAAATCTTTCTTACTCTATTAAACTCATTATCTGCCATTATTGTTTAAAAATATTTCAATTTTAATATTTCATATTTATACCAACGTATTTTTAAAAATTCAAATTTAAATTGCCTGTAGATGTCGTTAATTTTTGCGCTTAGTATTCCGTTCAAAACTAGCACATACAGAGCATTGACAATAGATTCTTCAAGAAGAAATGGTCTAAAGTGTAAGTGTATTAAACGCATTTATTGTGCATGCCAATTCTTGGCCAACTGATATTATGAAAATCATGAATTTATAAATTCGTAAAATGAAACAAAGTGGAAGTTTGAAAACCTTATTAAAATAAAATTGAGTTAAATAAAAGCGTGTTATAAAGTGTGCTGCTGAGCAGACACTGAGAATTGAGAGTATATATCGACAGTTTAACAGTGTGAATATAACAACAACATTATAAAACTACAATCTTTTCTAATATTTTCATTAAGTTTTAATTGAATCTATTTTATTTTAAAACTTTTTAAAGAGTGAAAAAGGACTATTAACATCGAACATGTCAAAACAATTAAGAATCTAGAGATGTTATTTGATACTTGGCTGGTTTTTTAAAATATTTAAAATTAGAGGCAACACATGAATTCTTAATGATAATATAGCTAAGCAATGGCTTGTTACAGAGGATTAAAATTCACATATTCATTCTATAGGAATATACATAAACTGCCAATTTATAATAGAGCTTCTTCTAGTCCTGTTTTATTTAATTTTCAACATGCTAGTTTTCACACTTCATGTAAGATCGAAAAATTAATTATTTTTTATAATCGAAATATGATAAATATCAATTTTTAGCAATTCTCGATAAAAGGAGGAAAACAAAAGAAGAGAAGGTAAACCAGAAGATTGAAAAATGAATTAAGTCCAAAAAAATAACTTTTGTTTTTAATTTTTTAGAAAGAACATAAAGTAGTTGAATATGCACCCAAAAAGAAGAATGAAGGCTTGGAGACTGTTGATGTATGGAGAAATATGACAGTTAAAGAACTATCGGAATCAATGGGTCGTGATTTAGAAGACTTGCAAGAAGCAATATTATACATAAAAGATGGTCCAGATATTCATCCAAAAACTAGACTTGAAGATATGAATATTATTAAAGATATTGTAAAGAAATGTGGTATGAAGATGAAAATTGTTTCTCCTCCAAAGGATGATAAGGAGGATCATGAGAAAATTAAGGATGTCACAAAGAGGCTTCCTGCAAAACCTGAGTTTTTAAAGCAACGACCTCCTGTTGTTACTGTAAGAATGATTAAGAACTTTTTTTTGCATTTGAAATGATTAAAGAACTTTACTTTAAGGTCATGGGACATGTTGATCATGGAAAGACTACACTTTTAGATTCATTACGTCACACATCTGTGGCACAGAGTGAGGCAGGAGGAATTACGCAACATATTGGTGCCTTTACTGTTGAACTCGAAAATGGTGAAAAAGTAACATTTTTGGATACGCCTGGTCATGCAGCATTTAGCGCGATGAGAGCTCGTGGTGCGAATATAACAGACATTATAGTTTTAGTAGTTGCTGCTGACGATGGAGTAATGGAGCAAACAAAAGAAGTAGTTAAGCTATCAAAAACGTACAATGTTCCTGTAATAGTAGCTATAAATAAGATTGATAAGCCAGATGCTGACCCTGAGAAAACAAAAAGAGAACTTGGGCATGCTGGAATTAATTTAGAAGGACATGGTGGTGAAACTCAGTTTGTATTGATATCTGCAAAAGAAGGAACAAATTTGCAGGAGCTTGCAGAAACAGTTAGCACACAAGCAACATTGATGGGATTAAAATCTGACTACACAGGTCCAATTGAAGGAGTAGTTGTTGAGTCAACAAATGATTCTAAACGAGGAAAGTTATCAACGGCTATTATTACAAGAGGAACGCTAAGACGTGGAGCAGTTCTTGTTGCAGGCCATGCTTGGGCTAAGGTCCGTGCTTTATTTAATCACGCTGGATATCCTTTAGAAAAAGCTGAGCCTGGTACACCAGTGGAAATATTAGGTTGGCGAGAACTACCATTGGCAGGAGATGAAATATTAGAAGTTGAAAGCGAAAAAAGAGCACATTCTGTTCTGCATTACCGACACTTGCAAGCACAACACGAAAAAGCAGAAGCCGATTTTGAAGTAATTCGTGTTAAGCAAATGGAACATGATGAAAAGTATAAAGCAGAACGCGATGCGAGAAGGAAAATCGGTCGATTTAAGGTTCGTCGAGTTGGTCCACGCCCGAAGGAATATATTGACGATGATTCGGTTCCTCGCGTTAATGTAATAATAAAAGCGGATGTTCATGGATCCTGTGAAGCTATTCTCGATGTTCTTGACACTTATCACGATAATGACAAAGTTAGATTAGATATTGTACATTATGGCATTGGTGATGTCACAGAAAGTGATATGGAGCTTGCGAAATTGTTTAACGCAGTCATTTATGCATTTTCGGTCAACTCAACAAAAATAGCGCTTCCAAAAAATGTCAAAATTCATCAAATTGATATAATATATAGATTAGTTGAGCATCTAAAGGAAGAAATTAATGCTAAGCTCCCAATGCTCGATGTTGAAGAAATTGTCGGTAAGACCTTATGTTTTTTTTTTTTTGTACCTCAAACAACAAAATTCTCAATATTTTTATTATTTCATTAAAAAGGTGAAGCAAATGTTCTCCAAGTATTTAAAGTCACGGAAAATAGAAAAGATGTTTCTGTACTCGGGTGCCGTTGTACGAAGGGAATGTTGAAGAAGAGCTTAAAATATCGAGTTTTGCGGTTCGGTGAATTACTATACGACGGCCATTTAGATTCAATGAGACACTTAAAATCCGAAGTAGATACAATTAAGAATAGCATTGAATGTGGATTGCGGCTAAACGATTTTCAAATAGATGCACAGGCAGGCGATACCGTAGTTTGTTATAAAATGGTTCAAAAACCACAGGAAACAGAGTGGGAACCATTTTAAATAATTATGTATAGTTAGATTATTTCAAATCTAGTACTGGGGGTCCTCGATTTGAGTAGTTGTTTTGTTCCAAAAAATTTCTACTCAAATCGAATCTATTCAAATCGAGGCAAAGAATCCATACAAAATCACATGTTTTGTTCCAGAGTCCAAAAAATGTATCAAAACAATGAAAATTATGATAATTTTTTGCACATTTTACCTCGTTTCTTAACTTTACCTATGTGTTTTAGATAACTTAATTTATTTCGACGCATATTGAAATTGTTTTTAAACAGAAATTCACAAGAAATATGTTTTTGAAACAAAACAAAAATATGAGAACCTTGCAAATGTTATTTAACCGAACAATTTGTAGGGTTTTTGAATTTGAACTTTTTAAAACCGTTAATTTTATATCAATTTTTTTTAAATTTTTACTTTAATTTTGTAACTTTAGTATTGATTTTTCGATCAACATGATAAGTTCACGCTTATTGCAGAATAATTTATGTTTTAAAAATATTTTCTGAAATGTTTTTATCAAAAATATTTGTTTTGTAAACAATTCAAATCGAAGAAATCTACTCAAATCGAATATTTTGGTGAGTAAAAAATTTTCTGTTCAAATCGAATCTACTCAAATAGAATCTACTCAAATCGAGGACCCCCAGTATAACTTAATGACTTTTATAAAAGGATTATGAACAGATTAAAACAATTCTTGAGTAATAAACTTTGTGTATCTGATTTAGTCATTTAATTTCAGAATGTACCGTTATATCCTAATCAAAATTTCTAGTTTTTTTTTTTCGGTACTGGGGGTCCTCGATTTGAGTAGTTGTTTTGTTCCAAAAAATTTCTACTCAAATCGAATCTATTCAAATCGAGGCAAAGAATCCATACAAAATCACATGTTTTGTTCCAGAGTCCAAAAAATGTATCAAAACAATGAAAATTATGATAATTTTTTGCACATTTTACCTCGTTTCTTAACTTTACCTATGTGTTTTAGATAACTTAATTTATTTCGACGCATATTCATATTGTTTTTAAACAGAAATTCACAAGAAATGTTTTTGAAACAAAACAAAAATATGAGAACCTTGCAAATGTTATTTAACCGAACAATTTGTAGGGTTTTTGAATTTGAACTTTTTAAAACCGTTAATTTTATATCAATTTTTTAAATTTTTACTTTAATTTTGTAACTTTAGTATTGATTTTTCGATCAACATGATAAGTTCACGCTTATTGCAGAATAATTTATGTTTTAAAAATATTTTCTGAAATGTTTTTATCAAAAATATTTGTTTTGTAAACAATTCAAATCGAAGAAATCTACTCAAATCGAATATTTTGGTGAGTAAAAAATTTTCTGTTCAAATCGAATCTACTCAAATAGAATCTACTCAAATCGAGGACCCCCAGTATAGTAGAGCGTCAGTAATCCTGAAAATTGATTTTTCAAGTGGCATTTCATATTGAGAAATAAAAATTATGAAGTTGAAAAATAACACTTTTGTGGATGTTGGCAATTTTTTTCGGTTAGGGGCCATTCACTTATTACGTAACGCTTTTAGGGGGAGGGGGGGTCTAAGATTTTGTTACGGTTCAAACAAGGAAATTTTTTTTTCATACAAATTTTGTTACGAGGGTGGGGGGGGGGGGTCTAAGAAGTCATTTTTTCGCGTTACGTAATAAGTGAACAGCCCCTTAGACCACAGTAAAATTATGAATGTTGGTGTACCGCGCAACAGCCAGTAGCAGCAAATAACATAATGTTGACCATCAAAAAATATAAAAACAAATTGAATTAGTGCATGACAACCGCAAATGTAATAAAATTTGGAATAAAAAACGTGGAGACTGAATGAAAAAAGGCACTCCAATTTATGATAATAAAATGAAAATGTTTGGGTTGTTATTATTATATTTCTTTTAAGTATAAAGCGAAAGTTAAAGAATTTTATATTAAATTTCATACTTTTTATTAATACAACATTACCTCCTAATAAATTGCTGTATCTTTTATAATCTTATCTGCCAGGAAGATTAATTCCGCATAATTCTTTTGGATTTCAAGAGTCTCATTGGAAAGGGACCAAGTTTAAAAACAAATTTAGATTCGTCCTTTTCCACGAATAAATATTGAAATTTTTGTTCTTGTCGAAAGAGTTGAACAAGCATATATCAAAAGTTAAGTATTCAGCAAATGAACAAAATTAATCATGTATGCTTAATTAATACGAGTCTCGATGATTTTTTTTAAGGATTTTTGATGAACGACAAAATGAAATTTGAATTTTACACTAATACTATCGTACTCCTAATCCAATCAAATCGTTAAAAATACTTTCTTAAAAATCTCGATAATTCAATTACTAAACACGAACTTTATAGTTTAAATAAGTAAAACATTTTATATTAAAGCTAATTTACATATTTTAGAAGCTTAAACTTCGGTATTGAGTGATATTTTCATGCTTTTAAATTTCAATTTTCGTTTGTAAACAATCAAATTCAACGAAAGAAATTCGAAAATATTAAAACCGTTAAAAATTTTTTTTACCTTAACACGTGTGTGTCGATTAATTAAAGTGATATTTTGGAGCAATTGTAAACTCTTATGGAATGAGTTATGATGGAAAAGATGGAGATTTTAATCCTCTTTTTTAAAAAATACTTTTAGGGGTAAGGAGGATTTTAAGAAATGATTAGCGATTACTCACTTACGATTTCTTTGTGACGAGCCCAATAATAGAAAATTTAAAGAAAATGTGCCATTATATAAGCAAAAATCATTGGCTAATTCAAAAAAAAAAGTCAGTTTTATCGCCAGTGTCCTCGATTTAAATTCAATGAACTGTATGTTGTATCCAACGCCCACTTTAAGATTGTTTATAATGAATTTTGTTTTAGATTTTTATTTTAAATTGGAATAAATCTGCGCTTATAAAGAATTACGAGACTACAGTTGGAATTGACATCATCTATCTGAACTCATTTTAATTTCTTAAATCAAAATTTCAATGATAGTTTTTTATTCCTTATTCCTACTAGTCATGTTGAATTGTGTATGTAAAAGCGATAAATGAGCTCAAAATTTTATTTGTACTTCCGTTTTTAGAATCCGCTGTTTTTGCTTTATCACATTCAAGGGACGTTTTACTGTTGTTATGACAATTTTGAATGAGATTCTTAAAGTGTGTTTCCAAAAATAATCACGGAATAAATATTGCTTTCAAATTGGTTTTTTCATTATGGCTTTTCTTTATGAAACTCACAAAGGTTATGAAGGCAAATATTCAAATTTGACTAAAAGTCTTTTGCCATTTGTGTGAATGTTTATCTATTTTTTTTTTTTTTTGATAATTTGTTTGATGTTGTTTCTGGTTCTTTCATTTATGGTCTTTTATTGGCGTGTTTTTAATAAGATCTAATTTTTTGATAAATATTTTTTTTTTTTATTGAAACGATGTTTGATGGCTTATTTTTGAATGTCAATAGATAAATATTTGTTAAGGTTTAAAAAGTTCCTTAATAAGTAAGATTTTAAAACTAAGCTTCTTTTTCATAAGAACTGGACCAAATAAATTAAGGGCTATGACATGTTCACATAAACACATGTATGGTCTAGTCGTTACTTTGCTTGCTCAGATATAATCTTTGCAATTTCATTCACGTGAGTCGACAGAACTACAAAATTGCAAAAAAGAAAAAAAACCACATTTTAACCCCATGCTCCCCCATAGTTACAAAAATTCCTTTGTTGGTAAAGTTTCAAAACCTTGGAACCTAAAAATCGAACCTTATAAGTGAATCTTCCAATTTAAATTTTGACTTTAAAAAAATATTGCAAAAATATTTTGTTCACAAGTTTAAAACATCAAATGTCTGTTTTAATAAATCTTGAATTTTGAAGAAAACTTCCAAGAAACCCTTAAAGAAACTAAAGCAGCCGAAATACAATCACAGTTGTCTGTTCAAAAATAAGACATGGCAAGATTAGTGAATAAGTGAAGAGGAGAGATAATACAGAAAAGTAACAGACAACAATTAAAGTGCAACATGTGTTTTTCATTCTTTACTTAGCCATCACACATTGGTCCCATGTGTGTTAATTTCCCTTTTTTCGGTCGTTTTCACATATAATCACTTTAGATGCGGGGGTGGGATTTTTTTTTCTCGTTCTTTTAGTAAACTCTTTAACATAAAATTTGCTCTATTATTTCATATTTTTCTGTCTCAAATGAAAAGTACATAAGTAATTGTAAAATATATTTGATACATATTCTTATCACAACGGCACAACTAACACACATTAATCTTCATTTCCGTTATTTTTTCGAGATTTTTCATTCATCAAAATACTATGTACTAGCCATTCTAAACATTAATTTTATGATAAAATTAGCAAGAGTTTTAAATATTGAAGCACAATTATAATAGCTGTAAAAATGGATACATAAGCGAACGTAAAATGTTTGCTCAACTCTGAGTCAATTGATAATTTTTTTCTGAATGAACTTTTTCTCACACAATACTATGATATTTGGGTACAATTGTGGTAAAAAAATTGTCGTTGACATTTGATACTTTTTAAAAACTTCATTCAAAAACCAAAAAAACACACATTTCATGTTCAATGTTACTGGGATAGGAAGAATGTCAAGGAATTTTGAATGGTTAAATTTTTTGGAAGCTGAGAATCTATTTCTTACCAACCCGATATTCGTTCGAACTTCATATTTTAAAATTTCAATTTGTTTTCTTTATTATATGAATGCAGAGACTGAACTTAATTAATATTGAGAAAAAACAACTAATCTGAAAAAATAAATTCTATGAACGTAAATGCTTAAAGGAGCGTGTCATTAAAGAATACAAAAATCAAAATCAATGATTTTAGAATTTTTTTTATTTCTAAGTAGGAATTTAACATGTGCTACAATATGCTTTTGCTTTTTTTTGAATTTAATGCTCACTACATCTCTATTTTATGATTTTTGCAATAAAAT